TCCAAAGTCTAGGGAACACATCTGGTGAGGGTCTTCCTTGAGAATGGCTTCAGTGACTCAGGGGTCTCACATTGCAGAAAATGGCAGAGCAGAGAGACTCTCCACATGCTCTCCTATTAAAGCTTTCAGAACCGTGCCCATGACCACCATTATTAATCCATTCATTAGGGCATGGTCCTCACAATACAATCACCTTTTCAAAGCCCCGCCTTTCAATTACCTTAATAGGATTTCCCACTCTCTTAACACTATCACAGTGGGGACCAAGCCTCTAATACATAAAACTTGGGGTGCTATATCCAGACCTGTTTTATGTGATCAATCAATCAATCCCTATCTTGTTTAAGCCTATGTTATTCTGGTGTTGTTAAATGCAATTGAACTTAAACTGAAACACACACCAAACCTCTGTGGAAAGTATAAAGGGGACTTTCACACTTTACTTTCTATGCTATGGTGTTGCTTGCATTTATTTATATTGCTTTTTACAATCGGAATGTATTCATGTATTACTGGTACAAGCATGTGTTTTAGAGCCCCAGAGAACTCAGCTTGAGTGCCAGCCCGCCCCTTCTTAGATATGCAACCTTGGGCAATTGATTAATTTTTCTGAGCCTGTTTCTTCTGTAAAATGGGCATGATAATAATAGAACTTATCTCACTAGACTCTTGTGGAATTATTTAGAAAAATTGACCGTGCTTGCTATTAATGAGATTATAGAGAAATGAGCACTACCCAGCTGGCAAGAGTGTGAACTGGACAGAGGCATGATAATAATAGAACTTATCTCACTAGACTCTTGTGGAATTATTTAGAAAAATTGACCATGCTTGCTATTAATGAGATTATAGAGAAATGAGCACTACCCAGCTGGCAAGAGTGTGAACTGGACAGACTTCCTGGAGGGTAGTTTGGCATTGTGTATCCAAACGAAGTTGTGCATAGCCTCAGTCAGCAATTCCACTTCTTGAGATTTATCCTAAACCTAAGGAAATGATAAAACCAGTGCATAAAAATGTTAACATAAGATGTTCACCATGGAGTTTATAATACTCAAAATTAAACCTTCAGTTTCATCAAAAAGGCATTGAAAAACTAAATTTTTTGGCATAACCAGGCAGTGGTATACTGTGAAGCCACCCTAAAAAACAGGATACAGGTATAAATTTGATATGGAAAGATGCCCACCACATATTAGATAAAACAAGAAGCAAGATGCATCCAAAGCAAGATGCATATTACCTCACTTTTATAACATTGTCTAAGTATGTGCATTTGCATATAAGAATTTCTGCTAAGATACCCACCAGAATCATAAGTGGTTAATCTTCAGATGATGTGATTACAACTTGTATCTGTCAGTTTAGTATCAATTATGCTGCAGTAACAAGCAATCCAAAACAGGCCAGCAGGTGAGCTTAGTTAGAACATGCCATTGATGATACCAAGGTCCAAGTTTCCAACCTTGTACCAGCCAGCTGCTAAGAACCCCCGGAAACATACTGGTTCACAACGGGAAATGTTAATTTCTCTCTCCTGTTCATGTCTATTGTGGTTGGCTAGCTGTTCCTCTGCCCAACAACTTATTTACTCTGGGACCCAGGCTGACAAAATAGTCTCTATGTGAACACTGCAGGCCAACATGACAGAGGGATGAGACAGCGTACCACCCACTGCCTATCACCTGTGCTGGGCAAGATTCATGGTCGTCCCTAGGTGCAATAAGGCAGGGATCTAAAATCCTTCCATAGGCCCTCAGGGAGGGGCACTACAAAGAGGAGGAGCAAACATTTTGAATAATACTATAATCTACCACACAAGTTATTTCATCCTATTATTTAAAGTTCTTTTCTTTGCAGAATGGGGTGGGAGGAGAATGCAGTTCTATCCTGGGAAGTGGATGGTCTCATGGAGGTGGGGCCTGGGTGACGTGGGTTCTCGTCGCTGGAGCCTCTCAGGGACAGAAAACGTGGACACTGAGTCCAAGTCGCCCAGCACCAGGCAGAGAGGGCAGCTTCAAGCCTGAGGCAGATGCCAGGATTTAGCCTACTTTAAGAGGCAGGCCAATTGGCCTGGACCCACAGTAAGTACAAGACAGTGATGGAACAGAAAGTTCTGGATCTAAAAGAAAGTTCTGGATGTCCAGAAGTGTTATGCCAGCTCTGCTACTTACTCCTTAGAGGACTTGAGTCAAGTTAGAGAACCTCTTTGAATGTCCCCATCTGTAAGATGAATGTTAAAGTAGCTGCCCTGCCTGCTTCACACGACCTGGGAGAGGGGAAAGGTGGCTCAATTACAGGGCGTTAAAATCATCTGCGCTCTTGTCGCATGCAGAAGGTTTGGGCCTTTAAGCTCTAACGACACATTCTCATGTACCACACGTCCCCACCTGCTCTCATCATCTCATTACCAAAGTTCAGCCCTTTTACTTATGTCCATGCAGGGCAAGTGAAAAGAGGACAAAGTCCCAGGATGGAGGAGGAGAACCCTTCAGATGGATGAGCCATGGAAGGGCTGGGATGCGGAGGGAAGGACCCCATTCCCACTGAAAGTGTCTGGAAGTAGCCATGTCCCCCTCTTTCCAACCTCTCGGGATGGAAGGCAGATGACAGCAGTCAGGGTTTCCCAACCAGGACTGATCCTGAGAGCCATTTAGGAAGCATTTAAAAACTAGATTCCTGGGCTCCACCTCCTGGAGATTCTGATTCATCTGGTGAGGGTGGGACCAGGCTGAGTCCCGAAATGTGATCTCCGTTACACCCTCTTGGCCATCCAGCTCCTCTGCACAGGCCTCGTGAGGTGCCCTGCAGGGAGGGCCTGGACATCTCAGGTGGCACGAGCCCTGGCACCTGGGAGAAACCTGAGTGGGCCCAGATTATCTGATGGCATACCTGCTTCGGCCCTGTGCTCACTTCTTGAATATCAAGATCAGGGGAAGGCTCAGAAGAGGCTCCCCTGGGCAGCATAAGTCACCCGGCAAACTGCCCCAGGGCCAGGCTTTCCAGGGCACCAAGGGCAAAGGGGGGGTGGGGAGAAAAATACATCCCTGCTTTCCTGCTCCCAGCCCCTCTGAATCAAACGCACTCCAGGCTTCCACAGCCTGCATACACACACACCTTGAGTGATGACTCTGGAATTTATCTTTTTACCCATCCATTGACATGGAGGTGAGTTCCCCCAGCCCCTCTGAATCAAACGCACTCCAGGCTTCCACAGCCTGCATACACACACACCTTGACTGATGACTCTGGAATTTATCTTTTTACCCATCCATTGACATGGCGGTGAGTTCGTCAAGGGCTGGGACAGGTCTTATTGCTCTCTGCACGCCCGGCGCAGTGCCTGGTACACCATCCGTGCTTGCTAAATATTTCATGAATAAAGGAGAGGTAGTAACTCTTATCACGTTACCACAGGGTCAAGGAAGGACTGATATTCGCACCCACTGGGCACATAGGACATGCACGTGCTCACCCCTGAAAGGTGGGGGGAACCCCGTTGTTAGTTACCAAGCAGTAGGGTGAGCTTAGCATGCCATGATTTACAGCAGTATTAAATTACTTTTGGCATCATGGTACCCCTTGACATAACAAGGTATGAAAGTTATGTGGCCTCTTCCTAGGGAGATGCTTCCTCTCTCTCAAACACCACACACACACTCTCTCTTCATACAATTTCTAGATTAAGAGTATCAGCTCTTCAAGAAGAGGCAAAGCCCTTTTTTTATGGATAAATGCCGGTTAATGAATACAGAAAGATAGTCAGAAATTGACATTTTGGGGCTGGCCCTGTGGCTCACTCGGGAGAGTGCAGCACTGGTAGCGCCATGGCCGCAGGTTCGGATCCTATATAGGGATGGCCGGTGCGCTCACTGGCTGAGCGTGGTGCTGACCACACCGTGCCAAGGGTTGCGATCCCCTTACTGGCCAAAAAAAAAAAAAAAGAAAGAAACTGACATTTTGCAAACCTCAGTTGAAAAATTGATTTGGGCAAAGATCACTGGCGGCTGTGGAAAACATTGGGCAAATGATTGATGGGAAACGGGACATTTTACTTGGTGTCAAGGTATCATACCACAGGTGATAACCTACTTAATTTCAAGGAAAAAACGTAGCTGTACTATGGAGAGATTGAGCATCCACACCCTTAACCAAGTGATCAAAATTAGCATTACTGATAATGAGCTGACTGGCATTATGTATGTACCCTGAGGTATACATCTACGTGGTATTGCAAAAAAATATTTATCCTGAATCCAATCATTAGGAAACAATCAGATACACACAGAATGTGGAATATTCTACAAAATAAGTGGCCTTGACTCTGAAAAATTCAGTGTCATTGTTCCAAAGCAAACAAAAAAGAAGAGGTCTGTTTTTAAAAAGACTAGAGAGACATGGTAACCAAAAGTAAAGCATAAAACTTCACTGGAATCTGTGTCCCTTCCAAAAAGCCAAAGAGTTTTAAGATGTTTTGGAGACATTTGGGGAAATTTGAAAATGGCTGGCATATTACGGCATTAATGTTAATTACCTTAGGTTGATAACAGTATTGTGGCTATATAAAAATATGTTCTTTCTTCTAGGAGATAACAAGCCGAAATGTTTGATGTCTGCAACTTTCAAATGACTCAGCAAACACACACACATTACCTACCTACCTATCTAAAGATGAAGTGTAGCCAAAAATTAACAATTAATGAATTTATAGGGTGACCACAAAGTTTGGAAACACTATTTTTTTCCTAGGCTGAAGATGGCCTTGATGACATTATGGGTATTTGCCTATTTCCAGACTTTATGGATACACCGCAGATGAAGGATGTAGGAGAATGGTTTACATTGAACTATTCTTCCAACTTTCCTATAGGTTTAAAATCTTTCAAAATGAATGTGGAGAGTGGGGGAAGGATTCTCAGCCCTAGATTAAGCTTCTAGTCCCCAAATCAGGATACTATACTCAAAAAAGGAGCTGGACAAAGGAGAGGGCCACAGTCGAGGAAAGCTCCAGATGGGTTTATTAGGCTATTTAAATAGAACCATGTGACCATTTCTGCAGATAAAAGGACAAAGGGGAAATACAAATGCTCTGGGTCTTTCCTGAATTCTTCTCCCCTCCCCATTCCCTGGTTAGCTCCACCCACCTCACTCACAGGTAGAAGGAACTCAGGAAAGTCTGTGTGGCTCCTGCCACCCCAAACATATCCTGATTGCCAGAAGAGAAGGGGCGAAGCTTGCTCTGTCTTTCTCACTGTTCTCAGAGTCCAGCAGGCCGCTGTGCTGGGTACAGACGTAGCTCCACCAGCGTTCATCAGTCTTTCTGTGTTCTCTCCTGTATTGCAGAGGCTGGAAGCCTGAGAACTATATTGCTCAGAATCTCCTGGCAGCTGGGATCTGCATTAGGGTGCACTGAGAGGCACTAGCAGAAACCATCACTCCTCTAGCAGTGGTGCACAGACTTGTGGACTTTGGCAAAACAGCAAGCAAGGTTTTGCAGCATCTTCTGGGCATTTTCCTGTAAATCATCTGCTTTTGTGCTGCTGGCAGCAGGAGTTTCCTGTGCCTCCGCAACTTTCTGATTTCCTGAGAGTTGGTGGTGGCTTTCTCCAACTTTCACTCTGTCACCCCTTTCAATGGTTTTGTAAATATCTCATTCCTATATTAAATCCCTTCCTGCTTAAAACCTAGAGGGGATTTGGTTTTCCTGACTCATACAGCTGTCTCAGGACCTCACTGCAGAGTGAGGAAGGCTTCTCTTGGGGAGGTGATTCCCTTCCAAACACCGTTCCTAAATTGGTACCAAAAAAGGCAAACAGTAGCTCATGTGCATGGTGAGCAATCCCAGCCACAGAGCACACGCTGGTCTGAATCCTGAGATGCTGGATGGGAGGCCAGTTCCCAGACCAGAAATGTACTCCCATTCACCTCACTGCCACCATTCCCCTGGCGATGCCAGGGCCGGGCAATGACCACCCGGAGCAGAGACAGCATCCACCAGCAGAGATGTCTGCAGTGCTGGCCCAGCCCTCAAAGCCCACCTGGCATTGCCCTGGGATACAGGAACATCTGGTCATCCTCCTGGCACAGGGGAGGGAGTTCCCTGCTGCCAGGCCTCTTGAAGTCGAGGCAGGAGGGTCAGCAACAGAGAGTCCAGCACAGCCAGACCCTCCCAGGAACACCGGAGACCCCTGTAAAACCAAAAGACCTGGACGTGATGACTTTTTTTTTTTTCCCCCTCCATGTGGCTGGTTGGGTAACCCGGAACAGAACCCTTGACCTTAGTGTTACAAGACCACGCTCTAACCAACTGAGCTAACCAGCCAGCCCTGATGGCTTCATCTTACCAATTTCTCTTTTCTTAAAATCTCTATTTCAAAATATTTATTTTATAATAACTGTTCAAATAAATAACTGCAAGCTCTTGTACAAGAATGCTCTTACATAAATACTCGAATCAGAAAACTCTTCCATCTAATGAGAATTTGTGTCATGAAACCTCTGCCTCTGGGCTTTTAGTGATATCAGGCACAGGTTATTATCTAGAAAATATCTGAGAAATGCAAGCTCTTTGTTTTACAGAATTTACTGGAGTGAGATGTAACCTAAGAAAAAGACAATCTTATTCGAGCCTCTGATCTTAGAGAACAGCAGCAGACTCTGTGAATCCTGCCCTCTGTGGGGCTCTGTAATACAGTGCAGGAAAGTGGAGTCTGTTTCCCATTGGTTCCCCAAAAGCCATCAATAATCTTACAGCAGCAGGGTCAGCCCTAGGAATAACTAGCCGTATACGTGGTGTGACGTAAAGAACACTATACATTCCTTTCCAATCTGTGACCTAAATTACCTCCACATCCCCAAGGCAGTCAAAGTGTCTGCAATTTCTCCAGTTGAAGAATTCTTCTATTTTGTTAAAGCACTTAGTTTCCTCCAGGTAGCTCCAGTTAAGATTCATCTTACCAATTTCAATCCCACCCCCACCAGTGCCAAGTCCCGGGCACCCACAGACCCCTCCTTGCCAGTCTTTCTCAGTTCTTCCAGGTCTGTGGATCTGGAATCAAGGCTCTCCTGGACCTCTAAACCCCATCTGCCCACCAGCCCCAACACACCTGTCATCCAGCAGCAATAGGCCCTGCTCTAGTAGCAACTTCACCTCCTCGCTTGCTCCAAACACATCGTTCAAGGTCAGCTGGGGCTCAAACTGCTGCCAATGCTGGGGAAACCAGAGGGTCAGAAGTGGGGAGCCAGCCGGGGTGCCACGAGGGGTGAGGGAGGGTCCGGTCCAGCATGGGGATCTCAGCAGCTGACGCTCATACACAGCATGACCAGGTCAAAGGGCCAGCAGTGGAGTGGGCACCTTCACTCCTCCTGCACATTCAGGCTGAAACCCAGCTCCCAGCCAAGCCAGGTCTCCCTCTACTCCTCTCCTCTCTCCCCCTCTGACAGTCAGGGTATGGCCAGCTCCAGCCAGAGCTTGTGGCCCTGACTTCATCCAGGGCAGCTCTGAGTTTCATTGATCGTTATCTACCAGGCTTCCTATCTGAGGTTCCAGTGCTGCTTAAAAATGTTTGGAAACACTTTATCTAGTCTAGTCCCTCATGTAGCTGAGAAAACTGAAGTTCACAGTGGTGGAAGGATTTGTGTCCAAGGTTGCAGCAGAATGGGGACTAGAACCTCGGTCTCTGCAGCCCTAGTCTAGGGTTCTTACCATTGGACCACACTGCCCACTGCTTCTGCCCACCAGGCCTCAGTCGACCGACCGAGGACCAACCTCCAGCTGTCAACCTCAGAGGAATGAGGGGGGATATATGTGTGTGTGTTTATAGGTGGTGGTGGCGCTGGGGAGATTGATTCTGCAAGACTTAGGGGGAGGGAATTGGTGTACAGAACCCTCTGACCCCTTACCTGGTGAGTGATCCCCACATCGGTACGTAGCCCCATGGCCAAAACTTCCTCTAGCCTGAAAGAAAAATCATTGAGGGGTCTTGGAGGGGAGACCCGTGCCTCTCCCATTCTTCAAACCCCAGGCTAGAATGTGTTTATGGGGGGCTCATGGGGACCATGCAGTATGGGGCAGGGTGGGAGGATGAGAAGGTGGGAAATGAAGATGTACACGTGGAGGTGGTTCTGGAGGTGCGGGGGAAGCCCTTGGATGCTCACAGCTCCAGCTTGCCCAGAGGGACGCGCTTCCGGGTGCCGTGACCAGAGAGCATGACCTCCTTCATCCAGTTGTCAGGCTCCAGTGTCTGGATCCGAGCTTCCCGGGTGTGGCTCCCTGTTCCCTGGAGCATAAATCGCCCATGGGCCCCTGACAACATCAACAACCACCCATATTAATTAAGCAGCTAACACTGTGTGCTTACCAGATTTAAATTAGTAGTTCTCAAAGTGTGGTCCTCGGACCAACACCATCTAACATGCTGGAAATATAAATTCTTGGGCCCTACTCCAGCCCTGTCCAATCAGAAAATCTGTAGGTAGGGCCCAGTAGTCTGAGTTTTAACAAGTCCTCTAGAGGATTCTAATACATGCTAAGGACTGAGAACCACAGTGCCAGGCACTATATCAAGCACCTTAAAATACATACTCAACTTCTACTAGGTACAGTAGTCCCCGTTTATCTGTGGTTTTGCTTTCTGGGGTTTCAGTTACCTGTGTTCAACTACGGTCCAAAGATAGGAGAGTACAGTACATTTTGAGAGAGACGGACCACATACAAATAACTTTTATTATAGTACAGTATTATAATTGTTCAATTTTATTATGTTATTGTTAATCTCTTACTGTGCCTAATTTATAAATTAAATTTTGTTATAGATATGTATGTGTAGGAAAAAACAGTATGTTTAGGGTTTGGTACTACCCGAGGTTTCAGGCACCCACTAGGGGTCTTGGAACATATCCCCTGCAGAGGACAGACTACTACTGCAGGTTTTATTTCTGCTGCACTTTACATATGAAAAAATAAAGCCTTGATGAGGTTAAATAAGTGGCCCAAGTTCATGCAGCTCTGACTTTCCTCTCCTCACTCATTCATTCCTTCTGTAGTTCACAGGGGACTCACCAGGCCCAACACCAAGGTACTGACCGCACTGCCAATAAGTCCAATTGTGGGTACTCAGTGCCCCCTGTGGGGAGGGAGGGAAGAGTCAGTAGAGAGTGAAGAGGGTGAGCCCTGTTTCTGCTCACCTGGTAAGGGGCACCTGGTTCGAACGTCCCACCATCTCAGGCCTGAGAGCACCCAGCAGGGACGCTTCTCAGCAGTGGGCCATGATTCCCTGGTCACACCTCAGTCTGCACATTCCCCACCTCCAGCCATCTGCCCCAGGACTTACATTCCGGGCAAAGTTGGAAACCTCATACTGGCGGAAGCCAGCCTCCCGAAGGACTGCCCGACCCTTTTGGTACATCTCAGCAGCGAGCTCCGGGTCAGGGGCAGGAAGAGCACCCTGCCGCACCTGGGTGAAGAGTGTGGTGCCCCGTTCCAGGGACAGCTGGTAAAGGGAGAGGTGGTCGTCACAGTGGTGCAGCAGTTCCTGCAGCTGCCCGATCCACGGTCCCACCCTCTGTGCCGGCAGTCCCAGCATCAGGTCCACAGACACGCGCCCAGGGAAGAGGCGCCGGGCCTCTGCCAGGGTCCGCAGAGCATCATTAGCCGAGTGTGTCCGTCCCAGCAGCTGGAGCTCACTGTCATCTAGGGACTGCAGAGATAGGGTTGAGTGTAAGCATACAGCTCAGAGGGAGACAGAAATGTTCCACCTTATTGGAGACACAGATACCGGGAAAACGCAGCATACGGCAGGGAGCGGGAAGGTGGGAGTGTGACGGTCCAGCAAGTACCAAGAGCTACTATTCACTGAAGGGTCACTATGTGCCACGCAGTTTTACACGGTGTTTAATTTAATCCTTGTAACCCTCCAATGTTAGCTCCATTTTACAGATGAGAAAAACAGAGATTCACAGATGTTAAGTAAGTCACCTATGGTCATACAACTGCAAAGTCAGACCTAGAATTTAGGATTGCCTCCAAAGCCAACAGTCTTTTTTTACTTTTACCTTCTATTTTGGAACAATTCAAACCTATAGAAAAGTTGAAAGAAAAGCATAATAAACACCCTCATATAGATCCACCAACAATATCTGGCCACATTGTCTCTCTAAATATACATGTATGTTACTGTTATTTTATTGAATCATTTGAGAGTAAGTTACAGACCAGCACCGTCCAAAATAACTTTCCATGATGATGGAAATGTTCTTTATCCGCACTTTCCAATGTGGTAGGTACTAGCCACATGTGGCTATTTAAATTTAAGTTAGTTAACCACATTTAAAGTGCTCACTAGCATGTGGCTAGTGGTTACAGTTCTGAACAGCAGTTAACAGATAAGCCCTTAACCCCTACATACTTAAGTGTGTATGTCCTATGAACAGGACATTCTCTTACAACACAACCTAATTATAAGGCTCAGGAAATGTAACACTGATAGAATTGATACAATATCATTATCTAATACATAGTTATATTCAAATGTGGCCACTTGTCCCAACAATGACTACTGTGGTAATTTCCACTTTAAACCCCAATCAGGGGCCAGCCCGGTGGTGCACTGCTACAGTGCGCCGCTTGGGAGCGAGGCTCCCAACAATGACTACTGTGGTAATTTCCACTTTAAACCCCAATCAGGGGCCAGCCCGGTGGCGCACTGCTACAGTGCGCCGCTTGGGAGCGAGGCGGCACGCTCCCGCAGAGGGTTCGGATCCCACATACAGACCGGTTCCCACTCACTGGCTGAGCGAGGTGCCGGCGCGACACCGAGGGTTGCGGTCCCGTTGCCGGTCAGGTCCGGTACGGGCGCGACACTGAGGGTTGCGATCCGTTGCCGGACACGAAAAAAGACAAAAAGGAAAAAAACAAAAAACAAACAAAAAAAAACCCCAATCAGGGGCCACACTGCATTCAGCTGCCATAGTCTCTCTTGTCTCCTTCAATCCACTCTAGATTCTCAGCCTTTCTTTGTCTTTCATGACACTGACATTTTTGAAGAGTACATGCCAGTTTTAAAAATGTCTTTTAATGAGGGCTGGCCCGGTGGCGCACTGCTATAGTGCCCCGCTTGGGAAGCGCGGCAGCGCTCCCGCCGAGGGTTCGGATCCCACATACAGACCGGCCGCTCACTGGCTAAGCGAGGGGCAGGAGCAACGCCGAGGGTTGCGATCNCGACACTGAGGGTTGTGATCTGTTGCTGGTCACGAAAAAAAAAAAAAAAAGATAAAAATGTCTGTTAATGAATAAGTTCTAGAGATCAGCTGTACAACACTGTGCTTGTAGTCAATAATACTATACTGTACATGTAAAAATTTAAGAGGGTAGATTTCATGCTATTGTTCTTATCACAATAATAATAATAAAGTCTTTTAATTTAGGTTTTCCTGATGTTTCCTCACAGATTCAGGATATGCATCCTGGACAAGAATAACCCAGAAATAATGTGTCCTTTTCCGTATATCCCATCAGGACAAAGCCCATGACCCTAAACCCTATGATAAGTGATACATGTATTGGAAGGCAGGGCAATACTGGATATGGAAATATCAATTCAGGGTTGGAGTCCTGTACTGGCCAGTCTCCAAAAAAAAAAAAAAAAAGTAAGAAAAATAACAGAGGTCAACCTGAGAGGAATAGGGTTCTCCCTACTTAAAAACCTTCAGTGGCTCCCCTATCAATACTAGAAGAAAACCCAAACTCCTTAGTCGGTGCTGAACAGACATATGGGTCCTTCCTTGCAGCCTTTTCTCCTACCTCTCTAGTCACAAGGAATAACTCAAAGCTCCCCCAAACATGCAAAGCTCTTCCATATCCTGTGTCTTTTCCTCCCACACCCTGTCACCTGGTGAACTCCTCCTCCTCATTAAAACATCTCCTCCTCCAGGAAGGCTTTTGTGATTTCATTGGACTGAGTTGCCCTTCAGGATGTACTCAGAAAGCCTTTCACAGAGACCCCCTTTATAGGCAGCATTTACCGTGCTGCAATGATCTATGTGTCTGCCACTCCCTGTGTCTCCAATCATGTAACAAATCTTTTTTGAGCACCTACTGTGTACCAGGCACTATGGTGGGTACTTGGAATACAAAAAGGCACGTCTGATCCCTGCCTCATGGAGCTTACGGTCTAGTACAGCAGCAGAAAATTAAGTCGTTACAAAAGTGTCACCACAGGGCCTACTGTGTATCGGGCCTTGGCACTAAGAAAGAGCTCAATAGGGCCGGCCCGGTGGCGCACTGCTATAGTGCGCCGCTTGGGAGCGAGGCGGCGCTCCCGCCGAGGGTTCGGATCCCACATACAGACCGGTTCCGGCTCACTGGCTGAGCGAGGTGCGGGCGCGACACCGAGGGTTGCGATCCCGTTGCCGTTGCCGGTCAGGTCCGGTACGGGCGCGACACTGAGGGTTGTGATCCGTTACCGGACACGGCAAAAAGGAAAAAAAAAAAAAGAAAGAGCTCAATAAATGTTTGCCCAATGAATTAATGTGACCAGAGAAGAGAGGGCACCGAAGGTCTGGGTGCACTGGGATGGGGTGGGTGTAACGGGTTACCTGGAGGCCAATGGACAACCTGTTCACCCCCGCTGCGCCGAATGCTGCCAGCCTGGAGCCTGAGGCTGAAGTGGGATTAGCCTCCAGTGTGACTTCCGAGTCTGCAGGCAGGTGGGCTGTCCGGGCCACCGCCTCCAGGACAGCAGCCACTGTATGGGGACTGGCCAGACTGGGGGTCCCCCCACCAAAGAACACAGACTCCACCCTGAGAGAAGACAATGGAGAGAATGAGACCTGGGAGAGCCCTCTGGGATGCCTGCACCTGTCCTGTCCACTCCCCCAAATAATTCCCAACACCCTGCCTACAGCCCCCAGTACCCACCGCCGCACCCCGCTGAGCTGCAGCAGCGTCTGAGCCTCAGTCACCAGACAGTTCCGCATAGCGGCCTCCTGCACGCCGCGGGGGATGTACTTGTTGAAGTTGCAGTAACTGCAGCGCTTCTCGCAGTACGGCCACTGGGGGCGGGAGGGTATGCGCGGCGTGAGGGACCTTCACCACTTCCAGGATTCAGCCGCACATATCCCCGTCCCCATTCCGAATCCGTCCACCATGGCTACGACATCTGAGCCACGCAACCCCTCAAGGCAGGTCGCACTGGGATTATTATGCCTTCTTCAATGTAAGAAAACTGAGGCTCAGACGGGAAATCACTTGGTCAAGGTCACGAGCTGGTGAGTACGAGACTTCAGGTCTCCGGACCAAGACCTTCCCCTACCAGGACACCTGGTCCTCATCTAGGGGCGGGGAAAGACAGCAAGCAGCCCCTTGGATTTTGGACCCCCAAAGCCACGGCTGCCCACCGCGGGCTTCCTCCCCTCCCCCACACTCACGTGCACGTAAAGGGCCGCGCGCCGACTCGCCAGCTCGGGACTCGGGGGTGCTCCCGCGTCCTCCACACGGGGGCGCCTCTGGGCCGCCTTGGCCGCTGCCGCCCAGCCGCGGGCCCGGGCCCCAGGGACAGCCATGGCGCCCGAC